GCGCCCGGCCTCATGCCCGCGCCGCATCACACAGACGCAATGACAATTAAACGAAAAGTCGAAACTAAATACAAACTACCTACGCTCAATTGGATCGCGCTGAAGCCCAATCAGGTAAATAACTTGACTTAATTAGCTATTGAACATAAATAGGCAATATTCACATTGTGCCAAAGTGGACGATTTTTTGCATACTTCATTACTATAAAAGTATTTAAAGATTTTTTAATATTAAATATTAATATTTAGTAGAAAAATTTAATAATTATAAGAGCCGAGTTTAAAACTTCTCGCCAAGTTATAAAATGCAAAGCTATTGGTTGCACGTTATAGTTAGATTTAATAATTTCTTCAACCAATCAAATACTTTATCTGTTTAACAACGTCACAACACTCCGCCACACTCCATTCGCGTTTCAATCGCACGAAAATCGCGGTATTTTTACCTCATATTTTATGTAAATTTTTTGAAACGTTTAAAAAAAAGATAAAAACGCATATTCCTTATTAATTTATTTTAATAATAATTACATATTATCGCATATCCAGGTGCGCGGCACGATCTTCAACGAGCTGGATGAGGAGCGTCCTCGGCGACGTATCAACTTCGCGGAGTTCGAGCAGCGGTTCCGGCTGGGCGGGGCGTGCGCGGGCGGCGCGGGGGGCGCGCGCGCGCTGCCCGACAGCGACGCGCTCGCCTCATTCCCCAGCAAGCGGTTCCGCAAGCCCGACACAGTGTCCCTGCTGGAGCACACGCGCCTCAGGAACATCGGTGAGTCTTCCAGTGATTCCCAAAGTGGTATATCCACCCCTAGGGGTCTATGACAACCCTTTTTTGATAATATAAGGTGGCAAACGGCCTTCCACCGAAATGGAAAGCGACCGCTACCCATAGACATCCGCAATTGCACGTAAAGAGTACATTTCCCCTTCCTGTGCGTCTCCTCCACCGTCAAATCCACTTTTCCTCCACATCCTTACCTCTTAAGAAAAGGGTGGAAAGGTAAAGGGACTAAGATTAGGTCTCCGGTTTAAAATTAGACCTGCTAGGGGTCTACGTCAGCGAAAAAAATGGTTGACAATAGCCCTAGTCACCTCTTAATTTTCACCGCTGATTTCCTTGAATGTACATCTGAATAAAATAATCAAATTTTTACTGTCTTTTACAGCGATATCGAGAAGAAAACTTGACACACCAGTAGAGAAAGTAATAGCGGCGATCAACAACCTAGATCTCAAACAGCTGCCGCTAGAAAGCGTCGAAATCCTCCAGAGGATGGTGCCCACGGAAGCAGAACAGAAAGCATACAAAGAATACGTAGCAGAGAAGAAGAATATAAACCTGCTGACAGAAGAAGACAAATTCCTCATGCAATTAACAAAAGTCGAAAGGATATCAGCGAAACTCTCCATTATGAACTACATGGGAAACTTCTTCGATAATATTCATCTAATAACGCCTCAAATCCACGCGATTATCTCAGGTTCCTCATCAGTCAAATCATCACAGAAGTTGAGGAATGTTCTAGAAATAATTCTAGCGTTCGGTAATTACTTGAACAGTAGTAAGCGAGGTCCAGCTTACGGCTTCAAGTTGCAGTCGTTAGATACACTCGTGGACACAAAGTCGACGGACAAACGAGTCTCTTTGTTACACTACATCGTGGCCACAATACGACAGAACTTCCCCGAACTGCTCAACTTCGATACTGAACTGCTGTACATCGATAAAGCGGCACAAGGTAGGTACAGCACTTTATTGAAAAAGGGGTAAGAGAGAAAACTGTCTTTGTTATTTTTAACATTGTAATGTTCTTAGTCAATCTATCTATACATATAAAATGAAATTAGGGTGTCTGTTTGTAATATCATAGGAAAAATTCCAGATTTTGGGAATATGATGTATTTGTGTTGCTGATAACGAAAATCGCATTTAAAAAAATTTGTCTGTTCCGGGTAATCTCTGAAACGGCTAGACCGACTTCGACCGGACTTTCACTGGAGGGTAGCTGACATTGACGATCGTATTATAGCCTACTTTTTTAATTCCGCGCTGTCAAAATAGCTACCAGACCGCTATCTCTGGAACGGGTGGACCGATTTGGACGGGATTTTGACTGGAAAATAACTTATAAAAAGTAGATGCACTGGAATGTTATAGACGACCATTTTTTTTAATTCCACGCTAACAAAGTTTGCGCCCAACAGATCGTATCTATATATTTTTTTAACATTACGACTTGTATGTTAATACCAATTAAATGTTTGTATTTTGATCACCCTGGCAGTGTCGCTGGAGAACGTGGGCGCGGACGTGTGCGAGCTGGAGCGCGGCATGGAGCTGGCGCGGCGCGAGGCGGAGTCGCGCGCGCACTCGCACGTGCTGCGCGACTTCATCGCCAACGCCAGCGACAAGCTGCGCCGGCTGCGCGCGGAGACCAAGCACGCACAGGTCGCACATGCTTACATACCTTAGCAATTATAAAATATTATACGGTTTGTCCGACTTGACGGACCAAGATGTACAGTGTGTCCGGCTTGAAGGACCAAGATGTACAGTGTGTCTGGCTCGAAGGACCAAGATGTACAGTGTGTCCGGCTCAAAGGACCAAAGATGCCTATGTGCTCTTCCAGTCGTATCATATCCTCATCATCAATGCCAAATTTTATCACGATCCGTTTAGCCGTTTAGGCTACAAACTCTAACTAACATCCATCCATCCATTTAAACTTTCGCATTTATAATATTAGTAAATTTAAATGCGAAACTTGACATAGATGAATGTTAGAGTTTGTAGTCTACACTGCTGAACGGATTTCGATGAAATTTGGCATAGATGTAGAGAGGTTACGAATCTGAATCTTACGCTGTTACCTCCGGTGTTCCTCAAGGATCGCACATGGGACCTGTACTGTTCCTCGCATTTGTGAACGACGTAGTTGACGTTGTAAAATATGCCAAATGTTCTATATTTGCCGACGACCTTAAGTTGTATAAAAGGGTTGAGACTCTTAAAGATGTCGACGAACTACAGAGTGATTTAAACGCCGTAAGTACTTGGTGTTTAGCAAACAAAATGGTTTTAAACACTAACAAATGTTATCATATAAAATTTACAAAAAAGAAACGAGTAGTAAATTCTAGTTACGAAATCGATGATGTTCGGCTGGCTGAAGTAAGTTGCATTCGAGACTTGGGTGTACTGGTGGACTCCAAGCTCTCGTTTACTGAGCAGGTTGATGAGGTAGTTAGGAGAGCCAGCAGAGCCCTAGGGTTTATAAGGAGATCCTGCTCCGATTTTAAGACAATTACGCCGTTAAAAATACTTTATAACGCACATGTCAGATCTATTCTTGAGTACGCGTCTTCAATCTGGAATCCTACTTACAAATGTCACATTACCCGTATCGAACGTGTACAAAAGAGGTTTACTAGAATGCTTGCCTTTAAAGATCGGTCAGCTCCGCGATTCTGCAATTACTCACAAAGACTCGAGTACTTTAAAATCAAGTCACTAGAACATCGTAGAACGGCAACAGATTTAAAGCTTTTATATAATATCATGCGAGGTATAATGCTTGTTCCCGAATTACTGTCTGAAGTCAACATCGCGGTGCCTCGTAGCAGCTCGGTTAGACGGACCAGGAGATGCGAGCTGTTCAAACCGAAATCTTATCGTACCAACGTAGGTCGGAACTCTGTAATTAACAGAATCTCCACCAGTTATAACGATTTTGTAGCCATCGGTTGTCATGATGTTGACATTTTCCATGACTCCATGTCCCGATTTTTGAACTTAATAAACAAAAAAGATCTCCGCTTATATTATCACCAGTAACACTTTTGTATTTTCTTTTATTGTTTTTGTTTAATATGTGTACCCTAATTTATATTAGTTGTAATTAACGTGATTCAACGTTTGTTATTAAAAAGTAAAACATCATTTTTTGTGAGCGCTGTGTACGCCTTTCATCTGTATGTTCTTCTGCTTCTTTGTTTCTCATTGTATACGGTATATTAATTTGGTTGTGAACCTTGAACATGCAATTGGTGTACCTTTCCAATAAATAAATAAATAAATAAATAAATAAATAGTCTGGAAGAGCAGGTAGACTACTTATTTTTATTACTTAATTTCTACACGGAAAGAGTCGCGGGTGAAAGCTAATAAGTCTATACAACTCAAAGGGTACTTCGCAATTGGCGAAATATATTGTATTCTTATGTATTGATTGTATCGTTAACCTGTGTACAGGATTCATTCGCGATGTGTGTGGAGTACTTCGGCGAGGCGCCGCGCAGCTGCGACGCCAACGCGTTCTTCTCGCTGCTCGTCCGCTTCACCAGGGCGTTTAAGGTAACGTATTTAGGAAGTATGGATGGATGTTCGTGTACTATGTATCTACAGAAAATCGCTGAAATTTACTATAAATCTATACTAATATTATAAAGACGAAAGATTTGTATTTTCGTATGTATTGAAATAACTCAAAAACTTCTGAGCCTGTTTGAAAAATTCTTTCACCATTAGAAAGGTAAATTATCTATAATATAAGCTATCTGTTTTTTTTCACGCGGGCGAAGACACAAGGAACAGCTAGTGTAGAACATTCTCGAACAAAACATACTCTAGTTAACTTTTTTAATTCCGCCCGTTCGTAAAATGAAACGCCGAAAACTTTATTCAATTTTCGTAGCAGAATGAAAGAGAAAGACGCTCTTCTCTCTACTAAAGACAGATGCTCTCTCTTTCACTCTCATTGTACGCCGAAAACCAATTTCAATTCTCATAGCAGATTAAAGTTTATCTTTCTACAAAGTTTGTTCTTTCTCTTGCTCTCTCTTTCCCTCTCATTGTAATGCAATATCGCTGTCTCACGTTACAGCAAGCGGACGCCGAAAACGAGCAACGACGCCGGCTGGAGCTGGCGGCGCAGCAGGCGGACAGCGCTGACAGTAACAAGGTCAAGGTCGTACAGAAGAAACAGCAGGTAAATAATTTCAACCTTATTTTCATACTAATAAGACACACAATCACATGACAATGTTCACTATTAGACTGTGCAGTCTAATATCGACTTTAATGTAATGAAATAAGATGCAATTTAACTTGTAAATATAAAATGTGTCATAAATCATTTGTTTGGCTTGTAAAGTTTAGTATAGCTTCATTGTTAGAGTCTGCATTGTTTAATCGTTCCCATTGAAATACTTGTATAGAAACATGGTTTTTGTCGTCTTTTTGGTGTAAACGGAACATGTTTCTATACAGGTTTAAGACAATAGAAATTCACTTTAGTAGTGCATAGATATTAAATTTTAGTTACTTCATGTTAAAAGGCGTTTTTAATTTTTTTGCGAATTAATCACCTTCAAATGCAAACTATTGTTTGTAATTAAATAAGGAATTGTTGTCAATTGCAGTTTTCAGCTTGTAAAGCCTTTTTTACTCGATTTAATGTTTTATATGTTAAAGAACCTATGGTAAATAAAAATTGTTCTTTTCTATTTGTTAATAAATTAACTTATACCTTATGTATTAACGGTCTGTATATAAATTTGTACATAACTGTATGAAGGCTAGGCAAAATATTGCCATATCATTTATTTGTCTACATAGTAAAATCGTGTTTTCTGTTGGATATCATAGAATTTGCTTAACGCATAGTTTTTTTTAATATCGTGATTTTTAACGTATTTTACTTTAGTTAATAGCACTATGAAATATCGCTTGGCTAACTTATTTGGATTATTCCCAACCGTCACCCCGCTTTGTCCCAAAGTGCAAACAGATGATAATAAAAAATTTTATCTGTCCCATCTTTTGCGACAAGGGGACGGTTGGATCTTAATTTATTTCATAACGGGTCCTTTTGTCACCTTATTGGTGATAGTGGGAAAAGATGGGACGGATGAAACTTTTTATTCTCACGTGGGGACAGGGCGGGGTGACTGTTGGGAATGATCCACATATTTGTGTTTGTCATGTAGTTTGGACTATAACTCACTTTGTAAACCATAGTTTCGTGCTTTTATTTGTGTAGCATATTTGATACTGCGCTTGGCCCCGAAAATCTTAATAAATCCACTTTGTCTTAACACTCGTACTAAAAAATTTTAGCTGTCACTTTCATTCTGTTGAAAAAATATGAAATAACACGATGAAGTTAGGTATCACTTAGGTGCAGTTTTCATGCATAAGTATACTTTAAAATCATTTATAAAAATCGTTAGAACCATTTTATTATATTTAAATGCTTTTATATTCATTTTTCATCAACCTCATATAAGTTAATTTCGATGAAATTCAACAGAAATTTCTTGTAAATTCAAGGAGCCGACCTGATGTTCGACCGGCGCTGATGTAAGCCTAGCCTTTTTAAAGTAGTCGCATAATACCAATGTTGTATTTCAATTACTTTTTAATTTATTCGTATTATAATAGTTTTGATGTGAATTAACTCGGTGATGGCCTATGAAGGTTTTATGGTTCACATGACAACATTGTTAAAAGGCGTTGTTCTAAATTAAATCGATAACATTAAAAATATTCCATTTTTCATGCTCGATTAAGGACTTTTCCCACCACTGGCTGATAGAGGCTCGGATAGCAGAGACAGTTATCAGTCCTATCAAATTGTAAATTGTCTTATAACAATTGAACGTGTAAAATGATGGGAATATCGGATTTTGTTACCTTATCTGACAGTGACGTCATTTATAACCTATCTGAGCCTCTATCCGCCAATTTTGGGAGAGGCCCTTAATTTCTAAATGCGCGAATTATCTTCAAATGTTATTTAAATAAATTAGTAACAAAAATATAAAATAGGAAAAGATGTTATGTTATGTTATGTTTAAAGATTTTGATTTGGAACATTATATATTCGTATTTATGTAAATAAAATTAGAATTACTCTTATATTTCGACGCAGTGTTGCCATGTTAACCATGCTAGGGTGATGGTAACACCGGATAATTTCTCACAGAGGTTTAACTACGCGGCGGTCAGCGCTGGCCTATTGCAGCAACACTTGTCTCAGTTGAGGAACAGTCTAGACCCAGTCTAGACCCGGTCTAGACCGAATAGGACTAACGCTAGGAGTAAGTCGACGTCTGTTAGCACAGGGGCCTAAGCGTTGCGTGTTTGTTTCACTACTAACATGATTGTGTGTGTGTTTGTTTGTGTGAATGGTATATATTTAATTGGTGTATTTAAATGGCCAGTAACATTTTTTTGGTAGACTTATATAAATTTAATATACGCCAGTTAAAATAATAAAAAAAATGTAAAAAAAAACATGACAAATAATGAGGGTTACTAGGTCTATGTACAATTTGTTGCATTGCATGTTTTGTACTGAAAGTGATGTATGAACGAGCTTTATGGACACAAGCATTAAGCATGGTTTACACAGATGTGTCGTCGATTGTCACCTAAAGTACTGTACCACACTACTAATTGTTAATTAACACCTATGTGTACTTAGCTTTTAAGAATTTACACAATTTGAGCTATGTTTTTAATTTAATGGTTTACACGACTAAAAGTCCCATTTATTTTCTCTGAAACAATATTTTCTTACAGACGTTTTGACAGTGGAAAAAATCAAATATTAGTATAGAAGTTTTCAGATGTCTTGACAGCTCTTAATTTTGTAGACATCAAGCGCAGAACATTTTAATTGAGAGGATCCGCCAAGATATTTGAAAAGAACTATACTTATCTTTAAAGTTTAAAAAATGAGAATGAAAAATATGAATTATCTAGCTATTGTAGGCGTTGCTGTTATTTTTCCGGCTCGAAGGACCTTATATAGTGTTACTTTATTACATTATATCTTTATGTATTAACTATTGCTTATATGCATGGCATGTATAACTGTGCTACGTGCATTTAAATGTTTATATAGATTTTCCAAAAAAAATAATGTTTTGTCTCTGCTTCGTTGGATTACAGCTAAATAAAACACGCTTTATTTATTCAGTAACATTACCTTTATTATTTCTATGCTTAACTATTATCTATATTATTTAAAATGTTATTTAAATATAGTATTAACAAAAAAAACAATTTAAATCTTATTAATATATGCAATGTAAATAAATCTTCTGATACAGGAGGCTGTAATCAACGAGCTAAAAACGAAATCGCAGAGCGTTGGCGAAAAGAAACTTTTACACCAAGATGAAGTATACAACGGCGCGTTGGAAGATATATTACACGGGTTACGTAGCGAGCCTTATAGACGAGCTGATGCTGTCCGACGCTCCCATAGACGGCGCATCAACTCCCACAGACTGTCCAAAGGTCTCGAAGAACTGGACGTATGATACGCACCGCCCGCGCACGAAAACTCAGTGCGTAGGGCTATTTTAGCCATCAATGCTAACGCAGCATTCCCAACGGATAAAAAACGTCGCAAAGACCTAGAAATGGTGCACAAAAAACACACGATTTCAATTTATAATATCGATGACGTCACAGATCTCCCCAAGGTCAAACCGTCTTCGTACAAGGTCGCGCCGGTAGATCGAGAAGTGGAGGAGAGATGTGAACTGTTGAAGTCCACGTATGACGTCATCTCGAAATATACAAGAGCTATGTTTGATAAGCAGAGTGAGACAGTAGTTTGAGAAATTGCTATCTGCGGGTACTATCGGCCAACAATATTCGATCCTGGAAATCGATCCGAAAATTTTAAATTTGTATGAAATAAAACGCTTATTGACAATATTCTGAACAATAGATTTTTGATTGGTGTTGCTATCTTTAGATTGGTTAAATTTAAATTAAATAGACTGAAATGGTAATACAATGGATAAAAAGAGGGTAAAGTTCGAATATAGAATTCGATCGTTAGTTTTTTTTGTGTATTTTATGTTTCATACACAAAGTATTTTTAAGTTTATAGTTTTCTGTATATATTATTGAGGTAATATAATTTCATAGTCGATGGTTTTTAGTTGTCTATATTTGTTTTTGTAGATTTTATGTATATGGCAACACAATTTGTAACATTTTCGTAATCGAGTTTGAGGTTATGTAGTACCCGTGGAACTAAATATGCCTAAATAAAGTTCGATGCAACGAGACACGATATTTTTCTATCGAAAATATACTTTTTTTGTTACAACTATACAAAGATTTTGTAGCTTTTAGCACTTTACAGTACACCCGGTTTTGATACGCTCGCTTTAGCACGAGAATTTTATTTACTGGCAATAAAGTTTGATATAGTCCCCGCTAGATGGCATTGATCGCCTTACAACGCACATTTGTATACATTTCTAATTAAATTTTGTAGTACAGTAGAACCTCGATAACTTCAAAAAATAACATATTCTCTTTTTATCAGAGCCCAAAACCTCTATAACATAGGCCCTTGATATCTTAAAACCTCTATAACTTAAAATGTTTTGTGTTTCCCTTGGACTTTAACTTATGGAGGTTCTACTGTACATTTAAATTATAAGGGTGTCCTTAAACGTATTTAAAAATGTACCGATAAATTAGTATAATTAACCGCTTTTATACAAAGTTGTATGGAATTTTTGTATGACGTTGTATGGGACTTTTGTACGACGTTGTATGGGACTTTTGTATGACGTTGTATGGGACTTTTGTATAACGTTGTATGGGACTTTTGTATGACGTTGTATGGGACTTTGTATGACGTTGTATGGGACTTTTGTATGACGTTGTATGGAAGCGGTGCGCATTTAAAAGTGTAGCATTTTGTACCTACCGATATTGTGATAGTATAAATATACCAATTTGTATCTTTTTATTATCAGGCAACATTCGCCTCTCATCTGAATTAATTTGTTATTTTTTAAAATATAACTGCTACACTCAGAGACGCTAAAAGTCATTGTAAACATCCCTGAGTGAAGATTTAGTATGATATCTATATTAATTATTGGTTAAATGATCGTGTATCGTCTCTGAGTATCGCATATCATGACATTTGACATTTAATTATAGTTTAAAATTCCATAGATTAAGTTATGAAGATGAGTTTTTTTTTATGTAATGTTTATATAATTTTAATAGTTGATTTATGGTCGTAATCTCAATATATTATTTGTAAATATAATTTACAGGAGTTCTGTACTTTCCGACACGCATAATGTAAATATATTTTTTTATATATTCACTCAAGATACTTGGGTTTTGTAGCGTTCTGCTTGACGTTTCTTTTTATTAAGATTATTTTAGTTTAAGCAAAGGGAATAATATATTTTACATACCATTTGGAATGAAGATGGACACACACTAATTTGGTATGAACACACAATATTGAATGTTTTGTAAAGAAAATATTAAGACTACAAAAAATGTCTTTGGCTTGTTATTTTTTATTTCATAAAGACTTTGTTACCATGATTAAAAAAATAAAAATTTTAATTTCTGTCTTTTTTTTATCAACCTGTTTAGTGTGTGATCACCTTTATGTTTGTTTAGGGGGTGCTCATTCGCACATTTATCGATAAAAAATTTTTTGGTTGGTTTAAATTGTTGGGTCATGAATGAGAGTGTGAGGTAGTGTAACAGGGTTTTGAAAATATGCACAAAAAATTTGTTAATTCATTTAATAATTCCTGCCAAATTTCATTCTGTTTTGTTTAAATTTAAAGTTATACTTTAAAAAGGTCAATTATTCTTACAGTTGTCGATATCGATACAAAATGACATTAGATTTTAAAAGTAAACTTTTCTTCCTATTTTCGAATTTCGAACACGGCATTTTTTTTTGTATATTCATATTTTTACTTTACATAATGTAAAAAGTGTTGTGTGAAGAATGTAACATGAAAAACAAATTTAAAACAACGTAAAAAATAACTGCTACATAACGTAGCGTGTTAACAGTAAGTCTGAAAGTCCTTAAATAATTTCACTGTATCGATATTGGTAATTGTGTTGACGTTTAAGTTTCGTAGATATCTAAGTGCGCGCGCACACCTTTGACCAAACTATCGCACAATTGTGCGATTGTCGATTATTTCGTAATCAATTCTACTATTAACACGACAAAAAATTGATTAGTGTATTCATCCATATAAGGTTATAGGAATCAAAGCGAGATCAAACAGTTGGGCGATAATTTAGTTTCAGGTGTGCGCGCGCTCTAATAGATGCAATAATCTCGGTGCGTTTGAGATGTCTTTGGTTCATTATGTACGCTAGTTAGTGACAGTATTCAGTGATGCAATAAATGACATAATTTGAAGCCTTTTATTTTTATTTTACACCAGAAACACGCTGTTTATTAATAGTTCCTAAACATTAGTAATGATAAAATATAACCTATGTTACTCACAGATAAATTACCTTTCTGATGGTGAAAGAATTTTTAAAATCGGCCCAGTAGTTTTTGAGTTATTTCCATACATACAAAAATACAAAGTTTTTCTCTTTATAAAGTTAGTATTAGACTAGTAGTTCCCCTGCGGTTTCATCCGCATAAAATTATGAAAATTTTATTTTATTGTGTACATGTGTCAAATTATCAATTGCAAATGTCAAAATGACATGACGATGACAAACCAGGGCAACCTTGCTTTCTTGATGTTGGCAGCAACTTATGGTGTACTTAAAGTGTACAATACAAAAAACTGCTTTGAATACCACCATAATAATGGTAGTTGTCTAGACTTAGCCTAGATCATCGGCGGTTACCTTGTGTTAGAACTGGTTAATATTTGTAGAAAGCGACTTTACAACAAACACAAGTTTGGTATCAAACGATTAGTCTTTGAACACAAACAACTTTACCGTTTGCCCAATTTGACGAGTAAACATCATTCCACTTTCCCTTGGACACGCCTCTTGTTTGCTTGATATTAAATGTTACTCTGTGGCTTTATTTTTGAGGTTACTCTATGAATTGAGTTTGGTAGGGATCCATTAACTATACAGATAATATATGCGTCAATTTAAAAATCGAAGCCCCTACTACAACTTTATTTTTTTGAAGAAAAAAAATATTAAAACAAAAATAACTTTGCAAGTTTTAAGAAAATTTTTCAAGTATATAACTGCGTTTTATCGAACAGTTTATTTCCGATATCAAAACATCCCATCTACTACAGGGAAGTTTGTTAAATCTATACTAATATTATAAAGAGGAAAGATTTGTATTTTTGTATTTATTAAAATAACTCAATAACTACTGGACTGATTTCAAAAAATCTTTCACCATTACAAAACCTACGTTATCACAGAGTAACAGGCTATATGTACTAATATAATTGTTATTTTGTTACGAAAACAAATATCGCCGTCAGACGTATTTCTGATAACACTATCGTAGTACAAAGGACAACGAAAGTTGATAAAATGAGCTGTCTTTCTTTGACTGACACTGAACGGTACAACACAGTATGTACTTAAGTATTCATATTGATTCCCTTCCTAGATTAGGCTATATTTTATGCTCTATGAACGTGCCAGACGATGAACTAGACTAGGTCTAGACTAGAGGAGAACTACCAAGAATTTTTTTACCTATTCTACGGCCCTGTGGGTGGCCTAAAATATCGTGGTGTTCTAAAGAATAATGTTTCGTTTTTAGTACACCATATGTTACAGGTCTTTCAAACAACTTATTGGTAGTAATTAGTTTAATATTATTTATGTTATGGAATATTTAAAAACAAATAAAACGTATGTAAACGGTAGCTCCACGGCCTCGGCCTCGGAAATCGTTTCTAGTTATTGAATCCAATCACGATCTTACCATACGTCACGGAACAAATTTTTTACACGGATCATATAAAATATTTTTGAAAAATATATTTGAAAAATTTCCGTAACGTAAATTGATCTTCACTTCAGATTCTCCATACGTAAGTAATGAAAATAAATGAAAAACCTTTTTTCTGTCAAACTAGTAACTCGCGCCATTAGTAAAAAGACCTATTAAAAAGGTTTTTTTTTATCGAAATATCAAAAACAGATTCTTGAATTGATTTGTATTAAGCGTTAAGATAAACGCTAATATTATAAATGTGAAAGTTTAAATGGATGGATGTTATAGTTTGTAGTTAAAACGGCTAAACCGATCTCGATGAAATTTGTCATAGATGTAGAGGATAGTCTGGAAGAACACATAGACTCCTCATTTTTTTTTTTTTAATTTCACGCGGACGGAGTCGCGGCCGAAAGCTAGTATCGTTATAAAACTGATTGGTCGGTTAATTGCTGCGTGACCTATATAGTTGATATTCCGACGAGCGTTGCTTCCTGCTGCCGTATATTTAAATAGACGACGTGATGCAACGTCTTACGTTCCCAAGTGACGATTGATGTTCCACCTTTTGTTGAAAAAAACCTGTTCGAAATATGTACAAACATTCGAATAACAAAAATCCGAGATATTATTATACTAGCTTTAGCCCGTCTCCGACCGAGTAGAATTAAAAAAACAACAGTAGTAAGTTGACTGTGTTCTTCCAGACTATGTTCTACACATATGCCAAATTTCATTGAAATCCGTTCAGCCGTTAAGGTTATAATCTCTAAGAAACATCCATCTAAACTTTCGCATTTATAACATTAGTAAGATTAGCAATTAGGAATGAAGTTTAAAAAATATGCACACTCTTAAATAATGATAGTTTTTATATAAAAATACTATTGAATTATTACTTTAGGTTTCTATTTTAGAAATTTCAAATGAAATAACAAGCATGTTTATGTAAAATGCAATGCTTGATTAATTCTAACCATCAGCTTAGAGATCGTATAATTTATTACAGAGCGAAAATGATTCGAATTCTTCAATCGACAGCCTCCGGTAAGTACCAGATAGGAGGCCCTTGATAAAAAAATGAATGCGACTTTGTTGACCTTATTTGATGGTAGCTACTCGCTTGAGATCTGAGGGGCCCTTTACAAAGACTGACCTTATAACGCAACGAAGTACCGACAAACATAAAAACTGTTTGTACTTGAAGATGTTGTAATTCCTTTCTTTAGTGTAAATAGTCATTAGACCATATAAATTTTTTTTTTTAAATTAATACAAAATTTGAAATGTTCATTGTGAATTACCATTTTTGTTTTTATTTTTAATTTCTTTTCTACTAGCTTTCGCCCGCGACTCCGTCCGCGTGGAATAGAAAAAAACAAAAGTGAATAGCCTATGTATTCTTCCTGACTATCTTCTATATCTATGCCAAATTTTATCGAAATCCGTTCAGCTGTTTAGGCTAAAAACTCTAACAAACATCCATCTAAACTATAGAGGAAAGATTTGTATTTGTGGTTTAAAATAAATCAAAAACTAAGACCGATTTCAAAAATTCTTGCACCATTGGAAAACTATGGTATCACTGAGTAACGCTACTTTTTTTCTACTTTTTTTTAAATTCCACGAGGATCAGGTCGCGGGCGAAAGCTTATTAATGAACGGGTTATTTTTTATTTGTACTGTAGAAGCATTTTAACAAGTTACCTGTCCATGTCCTTTTGCTGAAAATGAAACTTGGATAGAGGTTATTCTCGAATAAAAAGCTAGATTTTTTTATAAATCAATATATTACTGAAAAACTTACATACAAAATAACATAATAAAAACCTAACAACAATATAAAGATTTCTATACAATATGTTCGAATCAAACACTTTATAAATCACGTAAAACTATCATCAAAAAACTTTAAACATTATACATAAAAAATAATTACAGATTAAATATAGTAAATCAGTTTAATAAAAAAAACTTGTAGAAAAATGTTGCACTATTAACCAGATTAAAATGAAAAAAAAAAACATGTTAAACAAACAAAAAAAAATAGAAAAAATTAGACAAATTCTTATTTAAAGAGTGTATTAAAACGTTTTATTATCATATTTATTAGTTACCAGAAACAGTCAAAATTCTCGTTAACGAAATGGAAATCTCGAGTGGACGCGACTAGATTTGACATTTACCTTTTTTATTATTGCATTGACATGACTAGCAAAATTAAAAATATAATAAACTTTTGTATGTAAAACCGACTAGATTTACAATTACAACGAAAAACTGCGCAAATACTAAATTTATAGTTTTCTATACTAATATTAATAAAAAGAACAGATTTGTATTTTTGTATGTAATAAAATAACTCAAAAACTACTACACCGATTAAAAAACATCACCATTAGAAAGGTAATTTATCTGTGAATAACATAGGCTATGTTTTTTAATTTCACGCGGGCGAAGTCGCGTGCAACAGCTAGTTTGAAATAAAATGAATAGAATAAAAGCAATACTTTTAGTCAAATTTGAATGAAATTTAAGCGTGGCATTATTATTTAAGACTTTATAACATATTTATATGTTTTTTGCCGTCTTCATAAAAGAAGGTCGTACTTAATTCTTCTGTATATATGTACATATATATTTTTTTTTATAATTTAAAATTGATTAATACGATTAATTACTAACAATATACTATTATTACATACTAAAATTTCGGTGGGAGGAAACGACTTAGAAAACGAGTACATAAACTTACAACAGCACCTTAGTTTATTCCGTATATCGTTTAAACATTCCAAAAAAACTCATCTCAAAAATATTCATATAAAATATTGTACTATTTTAATTGAGCATAGACAATTATATAATAAAATCTTGAAAACTGACAAAAAATCTATATCTATACTATTATAATAAAGCGTACACACACTTCTTTGTTGCCTAAGATGTCAGCAATTACAGCACATTTTTGAATTCCTTTTTTAATCAAAAACCCTACATTTACGTCACGCTTTAGGCTATATATTTTCAGGCCATTAAATTTAGGAGATAAATTTTGGATAAAAACCCTAATGTGGAAAAGAGACCATAAGTTGCTACCAACATCAAGGAAGTAAGATTGCCAAGGTTTGTCATGTCATTTTGACATTTGCTATTGATAATTTGACAAATGTAAGCAACAAAATTTTCATAATTTCGTGCGGATGAAGCCGTAAGGGAACAGCTAGTAACGAATAAAACATATTTAAATTTGAATTATTTTCAACATAATAAATACATCGATAACGAACTCTAACTATATCAAAATATTTGATAACATGAATTAAAAGCAGTCCTTATTAAATCAACAAATATACCTAAATTTACAGATAAACAACCCTTCTTTATCATTGTAACTTGCAATATGAAAATAATTCTTTATGTAAACAATTAAGGCACTTTATAAGCAAAAAACAACAATAAAGTATTTAAAATTACAATTTATGGCAATACACTACATTATTTACATTTAGCACCTTTGAGATTTTATTTCATAAAGTATTATGTACAATACGTTAACAAACTAATATACTCTGATTTCTTGAAGTTGCCATAAATAAAAATTGTTTACAAGATTCTATAATCAAAAATAATCTTTGTTTTTCTTGCAAGTGAAATTTACCCATAATTTGGTACATGGATCGCTACATTGGTTACAAAATTAAGGAAACTTGATTTTTTAAATTATTTTTTACAATGTCCAAAAACTTATTTTTTTCCGTCAAGGGTTAAAACGGAGATATTAACTTGGAGTTGTACAAACTTGTGGTTCGGTATGTGACTTATTTTTGACCGACTTCCAAAAAGAAGGAGGTACTCAATGCGTCTGTATTTTTTTTCGTAGATTGCCACATTTTTGTCATTTACAGACAAAATATATTCAAGTGCCAATATAACCTACCGGGCCAGCTAAGTCTACAATACTACAGTTTATTTGTAAATCAGACAACATGTAATGTCATTTAACGATAAAAACAACATTACTGTCTCTTTCTAACTGCTCCTCGAGCTGTGAGACAGAGAGACCGCCGTGGCAACACAACTCGTCCAAACACACAAGCCCGTTGTACGTCCGCACCAGGTTTTGGTTATGGTCTGATCTCACCGACGCCGTGTCCACGTTATTCAACGTTATTGGATACTAAAATGTTTGAAAAATCAAATACTATTCTATTTGGCATAGATTCCATAAAATAACTAATTGCATTTATCTTTTAAAGTAAGAAATTTCTGTTTATTTATAGAGCTTGAGTTCGAATCCCGCCGTACCAATGTAATATTCAATTTTCGAATTATATATGTACAGTCGCGGAATTCCGCGGTGTTCCAGTTTAGGAAAAAATACCTTGTTCATTATAACGACACAAACTTCGATTCTTCCTACAAATGATATTAAATATAAAAATACATTTATAAACTGCGTCATATTTTTGTTCCGTATCTTGTTGCAAAATGTTTAAACCATTGTAACTTTTATGCTAAAACACTGCCAAATTCCCCGACTGTACATAATTTAGTCAACATTCTTACGTTGAAAGAAAACATCGTGATGCTTTACCTGGGAATAAATTCGAAGATATGTGTGAAGTCAACTAACCGAAATGCAGCATAGTTCACTGTGGCTTATTCACCACTAACTTTGGGCTTAAAGCCCCTTATTAAGGACGTAAGTTGGTGATGATGATATAATTATTCTGATATTATACATATAGTATTGTGTGTAATACAAACCTTGTAAACCCTTCGTATGAGTCCCTCTAGTACTCCGAAGAGCACCAGCTTGCGTTCATTGATGGCGAGGTCCTGCGGGCGCAAACGACGGCACAGGTCGCGTACTGTGCTGCCGTGCGACATGCCCGCGTACATCACAAACAGATCGTTAACCTTTGGTAGCTGACGCGCTGCAAATGTCACACTTCAGTACTAAAGATAGTAGTATATACTGAATATTATATACAGCTGTCCCCGGACAGCTTCATCCGCATTATAACAAGTTGATTTTATCCATTTACATTCTGTTATACTCAAATGCTCAAATGACAACGAAGGACTCTGCTATTGGCTGAACATTGATTCTTTGTTGATATTGTCTTGTTTTGTCCCTGTCCCAGAGAGCAGTTTTCTCCAATTTACTCAACCCCTACGTTTCAAAGAGTGAAAATATATAGCCTAAAGCGTATTATCAATGGAGAGACTTTTATTAAAAATGATATTATTGAAAAATATGCTGTGATTGCTGATTGTTTGTGAGAAATGTTTATACTTTATTATGTACTAGCTTTCGCCCGCGACTTCGCACGCATGGAAAAAATGTGTTCTTCCAGAATATCCTCTACATCTATACCAAATTTCAAAGAAATCCGTTTAGTCTTTTAGGCTACAAACATCCATCAATCTTAATAGATAACTTGAAAATCTTGGGTATTTTATTTCTATCGGCATATGAAATAGTAGTTTCAACACATATTGTTTCCGGAAAAGAATCTTTATAACAGAAGCATTACTTACGAGAACGAGCACAGAATTCTATACACTGCCGCTGCAAGCCAGCACACCTCGTCAGTTGACGCAGCTTCGGCGTCACACTGTATACCTGACAAACCAAAGGGACAAACTTAGCGAGAAAGTTTCCATTCATTTTTTGTACTATGTATACTCCTACTAATTTTGTAAAATTGTAAGTGTCTGGAGAAAGTGAAAAATTGTTTAAACCAGAACATCGTTTCGCAGTGCTTATCCTACTTCCGTAGTCGTCGCGTTTTCGTCCTCCAAGTTTAATCAATCCTCCATCAATAAGATGACGTCACTCCCATCTTGATCACTTCGCACGTATTCCACTCATCTCTTTCTAAAAGTAAAGTTCTTCCCCTCTTAATAAAATGTCCATACGTTTTACTCCTTAATAAGTCTACCACTGGTCTGTTAAAACAGTAGCATTAAATTAAGACTTATGGCTTATATACTCACCGCACAGTACTGGAATATAGGTACGAGGGTGATGACACCGTAGTATACAAGGTTCTGAACGCAGGCGCGCACCAGGCTCACCTCCACGTCTGTTAATGCAGCGATCTTAGACACGTGGTTGAAGCCGTCGATGTACGGCAGGATCTACCAACATAAAAATACATACAACATATGCCCAACAACATAGCGAGTAACAACATAAAAATATTACCAAACAACATAACAGAACATGAAGTTTACGACGCGTCGGACAGAAGTGTTTATGTCTCCAAAGTGTCAAGTAAATTAACACAACTTAAACTTTAAGCAAACAATTAAAACAAGAAGTCAATATGTCTCACTTGAATAGCAAAGCATTTGTTTTTAGATGCGTTTGGTATATACTTTTAAGTCTCAGTTAACCTCCGTTATTTTATAAGACGAAGGCGCCTCAGAGCCTTGTATTTACGGCCGCATGACTTCCTTATCAGCTGTTGACGCTATACAAAAACAACGACTTTACAATTACCACATGATATATGTATAAAACCTTTTAACGTGTTGTTGAAAAAACTGCGTATTTTGTTTAGTGGCTACTATTCGATCGCAAGTGAACTTTTTAATATCAAAATAAACGAAATGCATTTTGTATTCAACACCAACGGTAATCTAGACGGTATACCAAATTGAATCTTAACTTGACGGAAGAAGATTCAAAATTGCACAACTAAGTTTGAAGATGAACTAATTTTTGGTGCAATGGTGCATTGAATTGACCGTTACACGGCCTATAACCGGCTCCTATAGGGCCCACTCGAAATATCTTTACAGTTACGACTGTTATGTATTTTATAATAGATACAGTTTTACAATTTTGATAAGAAGAACCTTTACTGCCTTACAAATAAACACAATATAAAGTTAAACTCCTTAGTAAACTGAGTACAAGCAAATAGTACAAATTCTGCTTATACTCAGTTTATTCCTAAGTTTAAATTTATACCACGTATATACGTGGTATCTACTAATTTTGTAAAATCAGTAGGAAATCTCACAGGATTACAAATATTTGTAATGCTGTTGGATTGCAACCAAACAGACACGAAGAAATAACTATCTAAGTTAGGATGTATCGAATCTGGTCCCTTCATCGGTGGGATTATCAGACCTGTTACACACTGCGTTCGATATATGGAACGCAATATACGCCACATTATGATCGCTTTTCCGTTTCGCTTTGCTTGCAGTGTGCCTCAAGCTTATAATTCTATTTCGGTATCAACACGCAGTAATCGAGCGTGCTAACTCGACTCTTAATGCAATTAGACGTGACTAAACGTGCTAACTACCACACCTATAGTATACTGGTATATGCCAAAAGCACTTAGTAACGTATTTTTAACGTACAGTCGCGGAATTGTTCAGTGGTCCACTTACAGAAATAGTGCCTTGTTTCTTGCAACGAGACAAACTTTTATTACAAAATTGCTTTCGCCCGCGACTCTGTGTGGATTTAAAAAAATAACTAACTAGCCTATGTGTTCTTCCAGACCATACTCTACATTTACGTCAAATTTCACCGAGATCCGTTCAGTCGTTTAGGCTACAAACTCTAACAAACATCCATTCATCCATTTAAACTTTTGCATTTGTAATATTAGCAAGATAATAAGATAAGCAATTAGGTAGCATTCTGTTACGCAAACTACTATAGCTTTTAAGGAGTAATACGGTGAGATTCCGCGATTGTACTTAGCATTAAGTAAAAAACAATCTTTATAGATTCATCGTTTATTGCATTCAAATGCAAATGTAAAAAACAAGAAATCTTTGAAGAAGTATGTGTCAAAACGTGTGCGTGGGCGCTGGCGTCTTTATATGCGACTTGTAACTTTAATTCCTTAGTACTAAACACACGATAGAAGTTAAAAATCTCTTAGCAACATATTTTTTATAAAGAGGAAAAATATCCAAGTACAACGCTTTTATTGTATGTAAATGTATTTCTTTAAATACTGGCATATTTAAAACTGTATAATCATTCTATCCAAAAAAAAAGAAAAAAAAATAACAAATGTCAAAAGGTCTAAAACATCGATAACATTACAGTACAAAAACAATTTTATATTTTTAATGTAATCAATAACACGTAGCTTCAAATAAAAACAAATTACACTAGTTTCTTAATCTATATCTATAATATTATAATAAAGCGTAAACACACACTTCTTTGTTGCCTAAGATGTCAGTAATTACAGCACATTTTTTAATATTTTTTTAAATAAAAAGCCCTGCACTTACGTCACGCTTTAGGCTATATATTTTAACGCCATTAAACTTAGGGGCTAAGTATTTTAGATAAAAATCCTAATGTGGGAAAGAGACCATAAGTTGTTGCCGAATCAAGGAAGCAACACTGCCAAGGTTTGTCATGTCATGTCATTTTGACATTTGCTATTGATAATTTGACAAATATAAACAATAAAGAATTTTTTTTATAATTACATGCGGATGAAGCCGCACGGGAATAGTTAGTAGAATAAATATAGTAGAAACTCGATAAGCTAAAGTCCAAGGGAAACACAAAATATTTTAAGTTATAGAGGTTTTAAGTTATCAAGGGTATATGTTGTAGAGGTTTTGGGGTCTGATGGGAAGGGAACATTATTTTTTGAAGTTATAGAGGTTTTTAAGTTACCGAGGTTTGAGTTATCGAGGTTCTACTGTATTAAAAATGCAAATATAATTTAACAGTGAGGATAAAGGGTGAATACTGAAACGTAATTTATATTACGTTTATAAATTACGTTAACAAGAGTATCTTAAATGATAAGACCAAGCTTAAATACTAAATTCCTTTAAAATTTTGCCGTCTATGAGGCGCTTACAAAGTCAGTTTCGTTTCAATATTTGGTCGTAAGTTATTTCTATAATAAACTCTCTGAATAGTGTCTCGTTGAAGCTTGGCTAGAATTGCGATCTGTTGCGGCACAGGCAGCCCACAGTCGCCGGTTAAGGAGTTAATTTAATTCATCCTAATAGATCTATTTACGGATACAAGCGCAAGCTACAAGCGACGGCGGAATAAAATATTGTATTTTTTCACTGAAGGTAAATTGTTTGTTAAAAATTAGAGTTTAATGAGCCATAATAAATGTCAAACCACCGAATACGTTCTGTTTTAACTGATGAGTCGAACTGTACATCTTAAACTGTACGAGTGTAGTCAAATTCAACTGTCAGTTAAACTGTTAAAGTTTTGACACACTTAGCGTAAACTGAAGCGCATAAACGTTTAAAAAAACATTCATACGAGTTGAGAACCTAATTTTTGAAGTCGGTTAAAACCAGTGATAACAATTTGCTACTAAAGCTACACCCAAAATACATATGACGTTGGAAAAAATATTTAGGATATATTTTAAGAATACCACTAAATTATTTTTTACGATTCAACCGCTACCTCTTTTGGATTGGGCCATAGCATCCTGGCCGGTAAACAGAGGCGCTAGACCCAAGGCCTGCCTTACAACACGCACAAACTGCTAAATGGTCACTTTACAAGCATATTGAGTAAACATTAACATTTTCAACGTGTATGACAGCTTTTATGATTTAGGCATCCAATAAAAATAGATGTCATATACAAACCTATTAAATTGTATTTATTTTATTTTGCGATTATTAAATCGAAAACAGTTTTCCGGTCACTTCTGTAATCTCTACATTTATTAATAAAAACATCTCAAACAGCGTATATAAAATGTAATCAACATTTAAATAACCGGTTATTAAAACCGTAAATAACAATTATTTACATCGACAACGGGCCGGGACGTGACGACCTTCGGAAACAACTGTAAACACGATTTGCATTCATATCCACTTTAACACTCTAAATATTTGCGGGGTTCTAAACATTTTGTAATACAATTATTATTTTACGGCTTAATCGCGTCATACTTTTTCCGGTGACTTCACCGACCAGTTTCAGATCCTGCGGGGGTCCTTCTTCAGGGCGAGGGTTGAAGATAGAAACGAAAGAAGACTGGCTAGGTGCGAGGCGCGACGCGACCGCGATACAACATCTTTAACCCTCGCCCTGAAGAAGGACCCCCGCAGGGTCTGAAACTGGTCGGTGCCGACACCGGAAAAAAGTATGACGCGATTAAGCCGTAAAATAATAATCGTATTACAAAATGTTCAGAACCCCTGCAAACGTGAGTGCTAACCGCTGTTACCATGTGATGTAAAACAAAGCGAGCGGAAAGTGAACACCGCAAGATAACTGTGAGCATAATGTGTTACTATGAAACAAAATATTTGCTATCTTAATCAATAAGAATAAGGTTCAATTTGCTATAACACAATCTAGAGCAGTAATATAATTGTATTGTATAATTAATTTAATAAAATCATTAACAAGGAAAGGGGAAGCATTAAAAGGCTACCGGCATATGCCAGAGATATTGAACTTTGCTTTATGATGTCTACATTTTTAAGGTTTTTCCTTTGATTTTGATGTTTTAATTGCTTATTAAGAATTTTAGTCGACAAATCATACTTAATATTATAAAATGCGAAAGTTTACATGTATGGATGGATGTTTGTTTGAGTTTGTAGCCTAAACAGCTGAACGGCTTTCGATGAAATTTGGTATAGATGTAGAGGATAGTCTGGATGGACACATAGGCTACTTTTGTTTTTTTTTTAATTCCACGCAGACGAAGTCGCGGGCGAAAGCTAGTTTAAAAACATTTTTTAATGTAATCTAGCCTCGTTGACGTCATAAGTTTTGAATCTTAGACCACGATTACCAACTATAATTCCGATATGCTTACCAGTCGCTGGATTCGTATTTATTTGCATTAAATAATGGAATAATGAATATATTATAATACCAGTATATTGATGTTTTATTTATTTTTGTTGATCTCGTATTTAAATTATTCTGTTAATGGACTATATGTGACGCAGATGTAAATTATTTAAGATATCATTTTTTTACAGTTTATGAGAAACATGAATTTTTACTGCCAATGTCTGTACATGAATGTATTGTTATCTCTTTTTTAAAGAGTGTAAAAAGGATGACAGTAGTGCAAAAGTCTATATCAAGAATTTTAAAAATATCTAAATAATAGAGTATACTACAACTTTTTATTATTTTATTAACAATTGCCCCATGACTTCATAAGAAATTACCATTGTGTAATTTATTTTAAAACTGTAGCATCCCAAACGTGTTCAATGTGCGTTGACCCTAATATTAATTTGGGGAAACTAAACATTAGTTACAAGTGGGTGTAATTAAGTGATTAGCACGTGGGAGGCCGAGACTCCCGTGTCGGGTGTCGACCTACTGGCTAGGCGCCAGCATGACAGCATTACAGCACAGCGCCGCGGGTGACTGATCGCAAGATGGATTTGTTTTGATTCTATTTCTGATCTGAATTTAAAGATACGGCCTCCACTTGTAATATTGGCTAGATGTTATACGCGACTTTGCCCGCGTGAATTTAAAATAATAATAAAAATATAGCCTTTGTAACTCACTGATGACGTAGTTTTTTAATGGTGAAAGAATTTTTGAATTCGGCCCAGTTTTTGAGTTATTTCAATAGATACAAAAATACAAATCTTTCCTCTTATATTAATATAGATAAAAAATATTTTATAAGCTATGAACTATAAATATATTGGTTTAATATAGAAGTTATCTACTTCGTAGACTGAGATAAACAAGTCGTTTGCCGCAATATGTTATGCATACACGAATTTTATTTCTTTATTATACGCAACATTAAAATATCTCTAGGTTTCATCAAGTTTTTGAGAAATATTTAAATTGCATCTACACTTTTTTATTACTTTTATTCAATAAATGTATATACGCTATTATAAGAATAGATTGCCGTTATAAACACTTGTCTATCTATACTATTATAATAAAGTGTAAACACACACTTCTTTGTTGCCTAAGATGTCAGCAACTACACCATATTTTTGAATAATTATTTTTTTAATAAAAAGCCCTACACTTACGTCACGCTTTAGGATATATATTTTAACGCAATTAAACTTAGGAGGTATATATTTTGGATAAAAACTCTGATGTGAGATAGAGAGCATATGCTGCTAACATCAAGGAAGCAAAATTGACGTAGAATTTGACAAATGTAAACAATAAAATAATGTTTTTATAATATCACGTGGATGAAGCCGCACGGAAACAGCTAGTATAAGATATTTAGATACAACAATGTCTGTAGGAATTTACGATCATTGTCACTGCCCACACACAACGCACTCAACCTTCGGTAATTGCTCGGTGACAAACACCACTCACTGAACTACGGTATAAATGACAGACACACCAATATAAAGAAACCAGCTTTCGCCCGCGACTCCCTCCGCGTTGATTTTTTAAAAAAACTTAAGTAAATAGACTGTGTGTATTTTCAGACTATTCTCTACATTTATATCAAATTTCATCAAAATCCGTTCAACCGTTTAAGCTACAAACTTTAACAAACATCCATCTAAACTTTCACATTTATAATATTAAGTATGATTTGGCATTACTAATATCAACCACTATTATTTCATGATTATGAAAAATGTAATATCTTAATGTTAAAATTAAATTCTATATTTGTATTACAATTAATTGTTTCCTTACAACAAGGAGCAACGATCTGGTGATCGGTTTATTGACGCAAGTGCCCGCGAATGACTCCGTTCTATTTGTGTTCAGGTGAAATCTTCACGATTCGCTAACGACACATTGTCGCTACAATAACAATATCACAATTGTTTTACTTCTTACATTCTTGTAATTTCTCTAAGGAAATATACATTTTCGTTCCAATTCAACGTTATTTTAACAAGCGAACATTTGCTCATTTAAAAACACACATCACATCAATTAATGTTAACTAGCTTTCGCCCGCAACTCCGTCAGTGAGGTATTAAAAAATAATAACATCCTATGTCTTCTTCCAGACTATCCTCTACATCTATGCCAAATTTTATTGTGATCCGTTCAGCCGTTTAGGCTACAAACTCTAACAAACATCAAACCATCCTTTTAAACTTTCACATTTATAATATTAGTATGATTGGCCGCAAGGTATGGAATTTGACCAAAGGGCGTAGTCAAAGGGAGGCCTGCTGCCACCTGCCCCCTAGATAATCTATTGATTGATTAAAAAACCTAATATACGAATTGTGGCCGTGGAATCCGTCCGCGCGTAATTTCATAAAACTTGATTAGTAATATGTCTCCTTCCAGAATTTGGTTTAAAAATAATTGTGGCTTTCTTACCTGGTTGGTGGTCAAATCCCACTGGTCGGCAACAAACGACTGCCGGCTGTAGAGGAACACGGGCACTTGGTGGTCTTTGACTGGCGCTGGGTCGCTGTTCACCCGCACCACCGTCAAATGGGTCGTTGTTGTACCAACTGACAACAGATACAAACGATTGGAAAAATATATAAAACTACTTATGATGTGACTGCACATATAACTATCTCGCACATTCGGGTATAAAATAGCAGCTTTTTTATTTTATCAGTATACTTTGTACAGTCGAGAAAACTGACGGTTACCTTAAAAGCTACAATCATTTGAACATTTTGTAACGACGACGCGAAACCACCTAAACAACGCATCTTTTCAATGTATCTGTATGAAGAAGTCAGTGAGATACAAAGCTAATTTATTTTTATTACATCCCTTCGTTAGTGCCACTCTATCTAATAAGTTATTTATAGGGAAGGCGGAGGTTTTCTCGTTGCAATGCAAGAAATTTACTAAAGTGACACACCATGATGTCCGCGCATGTATTTTATTGGTAACAATTATATATGCAATATTTGCAATATATTAAGTCAAAGTTGAATAGCCGATGATATAATTGTGTAGTGTTGCTGATTTAACAATCCCGTGTAAACAATAATAACAGCTATAAAAAAATATGCTAACAGAATGCACAAATAAGCGAAGTGACATCTTGAAGCACGTTCAATTAACACGCGTCAGAGTTAATCACGTCAACGATAACCCGATAGCGGGCTATCAGCGGCGGGTTGGCGACTCGAATATCACTAGGGATGGGAAACAATCATTAACTAGCTATCGCCAGCGACTCCGCCCGTGTGGTATTAAAAAAAAACTGAGCCCCAGTAGCCTATGTGTTCTTCTAGACTATCCTCTACATCTCTAACTTTCATTGAGATCCGTACAGTAGTTTAGGATACAAACTCTAACAAACATCCATCCATCCATCTAAACTTTCACCTTATAATATTAGTATGAAGTACGATTTAGGGGTTTTTGTTCGATGTAATTCTAGAAATGGCTAGTACTTTTTGCTAGTCACTGCTTGCTTATTTTTGTTTCATAAATATATTTCTATCTATTATTATCATAATAATGCGATAAAAGTAATAAATCTATAATAATCTGATAAAACATTTTGGTGTTAATATTAGAAACGTCAGTGAAACATTTGAACAAAAATTTACGACTTTAATTTAAAGAGAGAGAGATAGATGTATTTTTGATTACACGTGTTTCGGTGTACACATCGGCGAGGAACATCACTAGTAAACATATAAATAGAAATTTAATATCAATGGTCGTGACGCCTACGTGTTTATGCAAAATGAATACTTGACAATCAGTGTATTAAAGTTAACCAAATAACACTTGGATTTTAATAAACGAAAAAATTCGTTACCTAAACAATGGATGGAATTTCTATCGACCGAAAAAATATACGACAGATATATCCGAATTAAAAAAATATTTAAAACTAAATCTATACTTATATCATAAAGGACTAGCTTTCGCCCAAGACTCTGTCCGCGTGTAATTGAAAAAAACAAAAGTGAATAGCCTATGTGTTCTTCCAGACTATCCTATACATCTATGCTCCGAAGACGACAAAAGTCAATTAATTGCCATTAGAATTTAAAAAAAAAAGTTTCTTTTTAACGAAACTTTTTGCTTTATCTGGTTTAATTTTTTTTTTTGCATTCGTCGTCGAAACGCAAGCCAGGTTCAGTTTGCAATAAAATGTATAAATTGTGAATGCAGTAAAATAAAACCGGTTGCACTTATATTGAAAGTTTAATGAACTCTAAACGAAATTACAGACCAGTTTTTAAGCGAATGCAGAACTATATTAGCTGTAAAAATAATTATAAAAGATGCAATTTGCATTAACAATTACGTCTAGACTGCTATTGTGCGACTAATGTTTATAAATATTAAATGTAACATATGTATAATAAATTGTTATATAAATCAAATCTATATTAATATTGTAAAGAGGAAAGATTTTTTTTATTTTTGGATTTTTTATGTATTGAAATAACTCAAAAACTATTGGACCGATTTCGAAAATTCATACACCATTAAAAAGCTACGTTATCAGTGAGTAACACAGGCTATGTTTTTACCATTTTTTAAAGTTCCACGCGGACGAAATCCCGAGCAACAGCTAGTCTTAGATAAGTTAATCGAGGAGTGCTATCTTTTATTTTTAAACTGCTATCTTTTTTATCTGTATCTCAATTATCAATTAATGTACAAAATAAACCAATTTATTCATGTTACCACACTTTTTGTACAAATATTTCTGCAATGAAAACGTAAGTTATGATATTCAACGATGAGTCGTGTAATTTCTCCTTATCAATAGACGCATCTTATCATGAGAGAAAAATATCGTACACGTGTACAAAAACATATTACAAATTGTATGATTGTCTGGCGCATTATCAGAGATACTCGTGGCCAATGTCTAAAATTAAACGTAAACAAGCTGGTATTTACTACGTTCTTTCAGACAGAGAAGATTAACAAAAAGCTACGTATCCCTCGGGAAGCGGACATTTTTTGGGGATGAAGCTTATCCCATGTGTACTCCAGAGTTTGTTTTATATCTGTGCCAAATTTCAATAAGATATGTTGAACCGTTGCAGAATGATCGAGTGAACATTAAAAAACTAAAATAATGAATCCACGGGAATCGTAACTATTCCAGGGATAAAAAGTAGCATATGTGTTCTTCCAGACTATGCTCTAAACCTGTGCCAAATTTCATGGAGATCTGTTCAGCCGTTTAGGCTACAAACGCTAACAAACATCCATACATCCATCCATCTAAACTTTAGCATTTATAATATTAGTAAGAAGTAAGATTTAATTACCAGTTAATTTTTTTTGTTTAGCGTGCGATAAACAGTCTTCTATTCAACGAGATATTATAACATTATGTTACAATAATTATGATAAACAAGTTCTCTCCACTTACGCCAACTGTGTATTAGGTTCACATTAATATTTATAATATATTGAACAAGTTTTAATGATTTAATCGCGTTTCTAATTTACATGAATAAGATTTTCGAGATTGATGAGAAATTAGAAATATGTATTTTTAATGTCCAGTTTACATTATCCCAGTCCAGTAATAAATTGGGTATGAACGTATACCCATTAAAACTGGTTTACACCAGTTTTCGATAGCATTGCAAACAAACAAAAGCATCCGATTACGAAATAATGTGTAGATTGTCACAAGACACGACTACTCCATATAATCCTATTGTCTAAGCTATAATAGACTTTATTAGTATAAGCATAAGAGTTATTTTAGAATGATATTTGTTTAAGCGGTTCTGCCTAGCAACGGAAAAGATAGCGCGTAATAAAATAAATCTCGATTAAATTAAGCCTGTTTATAACGAGTTTTTTGACCTGAATAAATTGTTTTCGTTTTCTGATGACATTTTTATTGTATTAGAAAATAACATGTCCAAAATAGTGTGTCCACAGCCTATGAAATCAGAGGTCAAACTTCAACTAGAATGAGACAACGATGTTTTGTTGTTCATGTTTCAACATTAAAGCCTATGGTAAGTAAATTAATTCTGCTGTAAACATTTCCGTCAGTTTAATCGCTTTTGATCTTGATTTCTAAAACATTTTACATTAACTAAATGCTTTCAATGTAAAGTAAGCGTTTTTTTTTATTGTTTTTGGATTCGACGTTTTAGAGCGGGCGCACTTTGACCAAACTATCGCACAAATGTTGCGCGATTGTCGATTATTTCGCAGCCAATTCAACTGTTTAGTTGCACAACTAAAAATCGAGTAGTGTGTACACCTCCATATAAGCTCATAGGAATCATAGCGCGACTAAACGGTTGTGCGATAATTTAGTTAAAGGTGCGCGCGCTCTTAATATTGAACTACTAGCTGTCCCCGTGCGGCTTCATCCGCATAAAATTATAAAAAAACTTATTTTATTGTTTTCATTTGTAAAATGTTCAATTGCAAATGTCAAAATTACCGTTACCATAATAATGCTTCCTTAATGTTGGCAGCTTGGAGTTTATGGTCCCTTTCCTACATGATGGTTTTTTCCAATTTAGCCCCCTAAGTTCAATAGCGTGGAAATATATAGTCTAAAGCGTGTGGCAAGTGTAGGGCTTTTTATTAAAGGAAGAATTATTCAAAAATATGCTGTGATTGCTGACATCTTAGGCAACAAGCAAGTGTATGTTTACGCTTTATTATAATAAGTATAGATAGAGTATAGATTAGTTATAGTATATGTTGAAAGTTAACGTTTTTCATCACTAACACGTAAAATATAAGCTTGGCATTGGTCCCAAGAAAGTTCATCAATGTCTACGGAACATTTTTTTACGTTTATCGTTTCGTAATTACATTTGTAGTAAGGATTTTAAAAATACAAGTCACGTTGCGAAATAACTAAAAAAATGTGTTAGTTTTATAACTTATCGAATAAAAAAAGTATTTTGAATTACAGATAATTCTAAGTAGGCATTTAATATGAAATTTAATAAGATCGAAATAAGTATAATAGTAGTTAATTAGTCTTCTCTTAGACGGACTATTAACTTATTATTTATATTGTTATTTGTTTATTTAATACAAGCTGTTGCTCGCGACAACGCCCGTGTGAAAAAAAAATATGGCCAGTACCATAGTACTCACAGATAAATTACCTTTGTAACGGTGAATGAATTTAAAAAATCTGCCCAATAATTTCTGAGTTATTTCAATACACACAAAAATACAAATCTTCCCTCTTTATAATATTAACTAGTATAGATTATCATTATTTTCTTACAAACAAATCTTATTATGAGAAATTATTGTAAAATAAAAAAAACAATTTTGTATTTTTTCATACAGTAGAACGTCGATAACTCAAACCTCGGTAACTTAAAACCTCTATAATTAAAAAAAATAATATGTTCCCTTCCCATCAGAGCCCAAAACCTCTACAACATAGGCCCTTGATAACTTAAAACCTTTATGACTCAAAATATTTTGTGTTTCCCTTGGACTTTAACTTATCGAGGTTCTACTGTATTATAAAAGCTAAGCTAAGCGTTGTTTATCTCGTATCTAATTACCCTGATTAGGTTAATAAAGGTGAATAACTTTAGATTATAATCCTACTGTTTTCAATCTTACGTGATTTAATTCGATAAGCTTCGTTGCGCGGCCGCGTTGATTTATGGGTTCCACTTCATACACGAATAAACATACATAGCGTATAGATTTTAAATGGAAAATCTTACTTATCTATGACCTAAATGTACATTTATAGAGTGCAAGGATTCGCTCGTGACTTCGTCGGCATGGAATTAAAAAAACAAAAGTTGTCCGTGTTCTTCCAGACTATCCCCTACATTTATGCCAATTTTCATCGAGTTCATTCAATCGTTTAGGCTACAAACTAACAAACAAACATCCATTAATCTATCTATATTTTCATATTTATAATACTAGTAAGATTAAAATAATAAAGTGAGTACTATTGAATTATTAGGAACAAGTTAGAAACTTTAAGATGATTCTTCAATTTGGATTTTTCAATAGAAGAGTATAAAAAAAATATTTCGTAAACATTTTAAGCATGAAGTTACGAAATAATACAGAATTTGGGTTCAAAGTGTCTTACTAATATTATAATTGCGAAAACTTGAATGGATGTTAGTAGCCTAAACTGCTAAACGAATCTTGATGAAATTTGGCATAGAGGATAGTCTGGAAGAACACATAGGCTACTTAGGGCCTGTCCCACCAAATTGTAATTACAAATATCGGATTTTGTTGCCTTATCTGACAGTGACGTCATTTTTAAACTATCGCTTAAATCAGCCAGTGGTAGGACAGGTCCTTGCTCTTTTTAATTTCGTGTAGAATCGCGGTTGACTGCTAGTAAATAATAAGAGGGAAAATTAAAAAACATAAGCTGTCGATAGTCATTAATCGTGGTAAGTTATAGTCTGTGTTGTGTGGCGCATAAATTATGCAAAGTATTGGCGTTCTATTATTGTTTAGAACAATTGACTACCAGTACATATAAAGCTGTGCATACACGTGCCGTAATTGAATAATTATAGTGATGTAGGTTACATAATGTTTAAATATGTATTAGTAATGTTACTAATATAAATGCGAAAGTTTTGATGGATGTTTGTTACAGTTTCTAGCCTAAATGGCTTAAGGGATCTCGATGAAATTCGGCATAGATGTAGAGGATAGCCTGGAAGAACACATGGGCTACTCACGTTTGTTTTCTTTTAATTTCACGCGGACGTAGTCGCGGGCGAAGGCAAGTAGACAATACGAATATTACTATGTAATTTATTAGAATTAAATCAGGCATAAAGGTTAATGTGTCCGATTAATTTTATATTGTCGCTCCGTTAATGCTGGGTTTCTGAAGTTTCCATTTATTTTATTACTTAGAAATTCTTGATAGGTTGACCTAAATTTTAACGCAGTAAAACTCAAGGTATATAAAACTAAAGTGCGAAAACGCATTTCGTAAAGTTATCAAATCAACTTAGTAACGAGTGGTTTTAAAGTAACTGGGAAACCGGCGTTAAGTCTATCCAAATCACAGTAGAACCTCGATGAGTTAATGTCTAAGGGAAACACAAAATATTTTAAGTTATTAAGGACCTATGTTATAGAGGTTTTGGGCTCCGATGGGAAGGGAACATATTATTTTTTTAAGTTATAGAGGTTTTTATGTTATCGAGGTTCTGCTGTATACGATCTTAGTAAAATCTTTTGTCAAGTATTTTAGTTTACGACCGTTTCAATTCTTTAAATTGCACGACAAATTGACAAGAATGTGATAAAATTTTCATCAAGATGGAATCGTTAAACCACCATATCGCATAATCATGTCATACATTTTTAATTTTACGACATTGTTTTCGTATACTAACAGATATCGGAGTGCTTGTTCTATTTTAGATTTTTTTTCTGTCGTGAAATTAGGTTAACAAATTAGAACAAAGAGACGAGTTGAAGGGATTCGAGTTAATTTTTTTACTGACAAAGGTAATATTTTCATTCGTATGTAAGTTTTTATATATGTGGGTTTGTACGTTAATTTCTAAGTGAGAGCCTACAGTTTGACAAACCGATTTTTACGAATGAAGTGACTTTTGTTTTGTATTCTTTTAGTTTTTTCTTTTAATTTCTAAATCGTTTTTCCTACGCTTATGAGTAGGGTTTTTTTTTTGAATTAATATAAGGATCTACGCATAACGTAACTACGACTGTGGGTTCATGTATGTTTTAGTAGAAACGCATTGCGTAAATCTATTTTTTTTTATATATTTTTTTTAAATGTCACCTGTTAATGTACACATCCTCCTGCAGTTGATGTCCTGCATCACCTGCTTCATGAGACAGCCTAAATCCTTGGCGTCGCCTGACATCGACTGCTTCGACAGCCATTCCGTCTCCAGTTCCATAGACAACTGGAAATCAGATACAATGTGAATATAGTTATTTAAAATAAGGGTTTTTATTAATTCTGATTGAAGCAGTTAGTATTAATGGAGACATTGTACACTGAATCTGTGCAAAGATCGTCGTCAGTTGTCAATGGGGAATAGGAGGGGCAAGGTGTAATTTCTGTTATTCCAAAGAGCGATAAGATTTTTTTTTATTAAAATAAACTTTAAAGTGGTTTTTGAGTTCATGTGGATATAAAGATAGTTGTAACTTTAATAATTTTAAGTTAAATATAGGAATGGGGCAGCTATAACTCCTGTCCCCTCCCCCTTACGACGCCTATATTATGTGTAATTTAGTCTTGGGTAGTACACGTACGATGTACTAAAAAGTAATGTTACTCGGCACTGTACTAAAAGTAACGTTACCGAACGGCTTCTGTTAATCGGACATTTAGTACTTTTAGTACACTACACGATATCGGTGTTCGCCTTTTTGTCAGATTGAAGCATCCACCTTCGATAATGAGAATCAAAAGTGGATAAAATTATTCATAACTAAATTTATTTTCGCTAATAACATATGTTTGACCCTGCTTAAAATTTGATGTGAAGTAATATATAACCCTCGTTATATTCTATTCATGTATTGTGTTTTAACAAAACTGAAGTACTAAAGGTACTAAAAGTGTGTACTAGTACGTTTTCCCAATTGTACTAGTACGGTGCGCACTTGCAGATGTCCGATTAAGCCCAAGACTAGTGTAATTGTATACATACCAGGTACTCAGTAAGTTTTTTCACCAAAGGCTCCAGATGTACTGTTCTCGCCCAAGCATCGCATACAAAGCACAAATTGAAATAAAACGCATTCCTTGCATATTTCTTGTTATCTATTCTCACAGGAAATCCCAGTATTTTTGAGCCAAGAAGAGTTCTGGTGACAAAATATACATACTTTACTAAAAGATATTAACAAGTGTTAAATATTGACAATTTTAAACAAAATTATTTAATAAAAACCACTAGTAGCAAGATTTAAACACGTATTTAAAATAATTACGAAATACAGAAACTTTTTCGATGTTTGTAAACAAATGAACGCGATAACAAGTGATACGTTAACTACTTAATTTGTTAAGAATAAATAATAATTTCAGTAATACTTACACAGTTAATGTGCATCTCTGTAATTGCACTTTTGGAATAATATAGTGACTAACAGTATCGAAAATATCTTTAGAAATATAGTTCTCCGGTACTTGACAAGTAATTTTGGGGCCCGCGGTATGATGGAATTCACATAAAAATATGCAGCGAATAGGTCCTTCCTGCCCACAGCCCTCGTAATATTTTGCGTTTGCATCCATAGTTAATATACTGGAATTTTGTATTAACACGACACTAATTCACATTTCTAATTCTTTAAACAAATTGCCACTATTATGGTTAGCAACTAAACATATTTTAATTTGTCATAAAAACTTATATCACTATCACGATAACGTAAGAGTCGAAGTTTTGTTACACAATCGTATAATCCTACCACTCGCGCGGCACATGATCAACTGAAAATTTTAGAAACTTGAAATCATTTTTATTTGTGATAGGCGAACTCCGAAACGAGATGACAATGGTTCGGAATGTTGGCATATGCAAAAAAGTCAGAAAAGAAATGTTATCGTTCAGAAACATATTATGTTCATCTTCATAATTATGTGGTTTGCATTTGTTTAATTTAGCACATGGTTCAGGCTTACTAAGATATTTAACACGAATAAACTTCGCAGAATTATTTGCTGACAATACATTACAAATACTTCCTTATAAACTTCATTTACTCTGCCAGTTGTTGTCAAGGAGTGTTTTCACTATTTTTGAACGAAGTCTGCAAGTGTCAAGTGCGATCAGCTGGCCAACTGTCACTGTCAATGATATTCGATATCAACTGATAACAGAAAAGTGGATCTTGTTTTGATAATATTTTAATATAATCTAATTAAAATGGAAAAAAGTAAATTTAGATTACTCGTTGGTGCTACAGGAAGTGTTGCAGCTCTAAAAATACCAATTTTAATAGACTCTTTATTAAAACTAAATGATCAACAGCAATATATTTTTGAGGTTATATTTATAAACAAAACGTTTCGTAAAAACTGTTTAGTTTATATAAAGTGACTTATTCTAATAATTTAATTAGATCTATGTTGTTGTAACAGAACATGCGAAACATTTCTTCGAAACTTCAAACTTACCTGGTGATGTTAAAGTATACGACGATGCAGAAGAATGGAGCAGTTGGAATAAAAGAGGCGATCCTGTTGTTCACATAGAACTTGGAAAGTGGGCTGATATGATGATCATTGCACCTTTAGATGCTAACACTCTGGCTAAAATGGCTCAGGTACGAGATAATTCCACTGGAACCAATCTTAATTTTCATTAAAAATATAATGTTATAAATAGGGAAGATTTGTATTTTTGGATTTCTGTATGTATTGAAATAAGTCAAAAACTACTGGGTCGGTTATAAATATTAAAAGGTAATTTATTTTTTCATTTGACATGGACAAATTCGCAAGCAACAGCTATTTAAAAATAAGATACAAGATAGTATTTAAATGAAGTGTAATATTTTATTGGACCTATAAGTAGTTTATTAAGAAAATTATAGAACTTAAGGCCAACTCATTTAATTATATCAATAAAAAATATATAATTATAATTAATAAACACACTTCTTTCTTATTTCTAAATGTACTATAAAATTTGTTTAGTAAATGCTTATATTCCAGGGTCTTTGTGACAATCTTCTAACCTGTACCACCCGAGCTTGGGATATGAGCAAGCCGTTGCTGTTTTGTCCTGCGATGAACACAAGAATGTGGGAACATCCTCTCACATACAAACACATACAGATACTAAAGGAATGGGGCCATGAAGAAATACCACCTATTAAAAAGAAACTAATATGTGGCGACACTGGTGTAGGTGCTATGGCTGAAGTCGAAGCTATCGTTGAGAGAATAAAAAGTGTTGCCAATGATAAAATGTTGAAAGCAAACAATTAAATAAATTTTATTGTTAATTGATTGCATTGTAAATAAATTTGTTTTTATACATAATTATTTTGCTATTTCCTTCTTGTACTCATTAATTATTTCTTAAGGTTTAAAGTTATTTAAAATGAACAAAACAAATTAACTAATAGCTACTAAATAGTCTTTAGAATGAATTGAAAATTACTTTTAGGAATACATTTTTTGAAAAGTTGACATTTTAATATTAAACTGTCTGTTGCTCGCGACATCGCCAGCGTGAAAATAAAAAATAATAAAAAACACATAGCCTATGCTCACTGGAAATGTAGCGTTTCAATGGTGTAATAGTTTTTGAAATCTGCCCAGAAGCTTTTGAATTATTTCAGTACATACAAAAATACAAATCTTTCCTCTATCTTTCCCATAATATTAACAAACAATGAAAAATTATGAAAACTCTCTGAAACTGAACTGAGGTTTTAACTAGCATATGTTTTACGAATAATTCAGTAAAATTAACGAACTGAATGTAACTTTTTTGCCAAGTCAATTATCAAGTAGGTGATATCAATTGTTCGGGAAAAAAGAGTTCATTGACCCTATCACGGATATACATAATGCCCTAAATATGGACATTATCATAATATTGACATGCCGACTTACCTTATCACGGTATGTTCACACGAAAATAGTTTAAACAACGATAAAAAATTCATATCGCCAAACTGTCTGAGATTATCCTCATGTTGAATGCAATACGTATTATGATACAAATATTTAATAATCAAGGAAAATTATACAAAACACGATCTTCGAATACGCTGTCCCTTAAATTAATTTAATTACGATCGTCGTTAATCATAATCGGTTCATCTGTAGAAGCAGGAAGCAATGAAAGTCGCAATAAAATGAATTTAGAGCACAAGCGTTGCAACAAGCAAATAAATTATTTATGAAACAGATTGCCGACAGAATATACCCACGACATCGTTACGACAGAAATAATCTTGTATTCAGATATGTTAACACGTTTACAGCTTTGTTTAGATAATAGAGATTTAAATCCGTAATCTTACTTTTCTTACTAATAAATGCGACAGTTTAGATGGATGGATGGACGAATTTTTATTAGCAAGTAGCTCGATAACGGCTTAACGGATTAGGATGAAATTTTAAATTTAACGCGGATGAATTTAGTAGTAAGAATAAAAACAATGCTAGCTAACAGAAGGAAAAAAAACATGCCGAATACAACGGAACCTAGAGGGTAACATTCTAAATTCTAATTTCTTTTTCCAAAAAATATTTCATACGTTAATTCTATTGTTATATAGTTGAGTAATGTAATCGTATATTTGCAGTTACACGTGGCGTTAGTACGAATATAAATGATTATTTATAACACATGTAATGAATCTCGCTGCCACGTGGCGCCTCGCATCAAAACAATCTACATCAGAGATGTAACAATTGCGGCCTGCAAGAGATTATCCACGTTTTTATTACGTTTGTGATCAACGTGTCTTCAGACATTTATAGAATATTGCTATGCGTTTTGTAGGCGATCACCTTGAAAGGGATTTTATTATATTTGATGATGAATCATACACTATACTTATATTATAAAGAGGAGAAAGTAAAATAACTCAAAAACTACTGGGCCGATTTTAAAAATTCTTTCACCGTTGAAAAGGAGGATATCTGTGAGTATTATAGGCTATATTTCATGGGCAAATGTTTTTTTATCACTTGGACACGACATTTGCTATTTAATACCACAGATAATAAACATTAATATTCGTCACGGTGCACATATTGTCAACATAATTATGGAAATGTTTATCCATTTGTTACACGTGCTATTCAAGTCACAACGTTTATTTAAGAGTTCGTAATTTTTCCTTAAATAGATAAATTTCGCTATGTATAGCATCTTTAAGTTCAAGGTTCCACGCGACGTCAATTTCGTACTTTATTATAAAACTAGCTTTCGTTCGCGTGGATTAATAAAATACAAAACTAAGTAGCCTATATTTTTTTCCAGACTAACCTCTACACCCATACCAAATTTCATCGAAATCGGTTTAGCCGTTTAGGCTACAAACTCTAACAAAAATCCATCCATCTAAATCGTATTTATCGTATCGTATTTATAATATTAGTATGATTAGATGCACTCTCTATTGAACACTCCATTTCCAGATTGTTTTTTATGTTAATTATTTTTGAATGCGGGCGCTAGCACTGTGCCCTCATACTTAAACGAAAACTGCTGTATTTAGAGATTATTTTGAAATATTTAACATTTAATACCCGCAGTCGAAACATTAATTATATTTTGTTGAACATTCGCAAGTGAAAATAGAAAATCACTGCATTTCTATTGCATATTTACATTCATTTCTAGCTCCAAATCCATTTCTTTAAACATAAACTACAATTCATTTTGACTATTAAATTAAGTTTAACATAACTTGTTAAAAATTAGATATTTTCAAAATTTGGATGGATGTTTGTTATTATTACCAGAACCGCGCAACGAATCTCATTATAATTTGTCACAGAGTCACAGATAGTGTAGATGTGGTGTGATCTGTACTTTTTTTAACTCCGCGCGGTAGTCACAGGCGACAGCTAGTCTAGCATTACTCAAGGATAAAAAAACACACCATTTTCCAAGACAGTACTGATTTATTACGTTCTTATATAAACATCATATAAGTTACAAAATACATAAACAGGTAAATAGGTAACAAAACACTTGACTAGCGTTTCAGAAATAATGTACAGCTTGCAACGGATCCAGAGATTACACAAACGCGCTTTCGGCCTTCATTATAAATAATTAACGCCTTTAAAAATAAAGGCATTCTAAGAACTTGCCAGTAAGCAAATACATCTAAAAACAAATTAAATATTGTAAAAATATAGCAAAAGACCGAAACGAAGCATCACTGTATCGCAAGATATAAAAATATTGTTCTTCTATAAGGCAACACTGACCGGTATTGCCACCTGTAAAATATACACATTTGTTGGTTTGCGTAAAAAAATTCATCTCGTTTATTTGGCACGTTTGTAGAAAATAGAACGCCTTTCCATACTTATACATTATTGTTAAAAAATAAATAATTATTATTATAGACAATGTTTTATTTTTACTCAACCACCTTCACACCGTTCCAGAGTAGAGCAAAGATTATCACAAACAAAATTGAACTTTATCGTATTGATATAGGGTTTATTTTTAATTTTCAATTTTTACGCTCGCTCTTGACACAAACATTTTTGTTTTAATATAGCTGCACTTTACTACAAATAGTAGTTTTTACAAAAAGTGTTTAAATGGCTGAGTAACTTTATACTGAGTTGACTATCAGTCACTAGCACGAAATTTTGCCGAACAGTAACCATGAAAAACATTTTGTATGAAATTTGTCTGCGTATTTTAGTATTTTACACTCGATAAGGTACAAATCTAATACAATTTTGTTAACATTACAAACACTTTTTCGCAAATTTTCGTGCTAGATCATCTTTACAAGAACATTGTTCTTGTTCGGATACTGATGTTATCTGTAAAAATAAATTGTTTTTCATTCGCTGACTTAACTTACATTATGCTATTTTCACATACATATTTAAGAATATGCTATCCATCTAACTTAAACACCAAGCTTTATACACAGTCCTAAAAAAAGTGGGTAGTACAAAATTATAAACCGTTTGTAATTGTTTAAGGAAATATCCTTTTAAACGAGTTAAAAACTTACTTCGTATTACTTCAAATATATTTTTTGAGATTTACTTCTACTTTTTGAGGCTAAGAAATCATTAGAACCATTTCATACAATTCACTCAAAAATAAACGGTATATCGTCACCATAACTTCCCACGATTAAGGAATGACCTAATACATAAGGTTAGGAATACTTTTGGGGAAAATACGAAATTTTCCGTACGAAAATCATGATATATAATTTGCTTACACTAATCCCTTCATTTGAGATATTATTCGAACACATTTACTACGCAAATTGGACACTTATCAAGTATTTTTATACATACAACTAGAAGCAATACAAAAGTTCACTTTAACACTGTAGAGTTGACAATCTTATATCCATCTCTTTCTATCTTGTGTAATTGTAATATCCCCCTCTCCGCAAAAATTTTACGGATTAACATTTACGGTAATTTTTCAAATACACATTAATTCGTGTTATTATTGATGTTTTGTTTTCTATTTAATTGGCTAGTTTTAAAGTGAGTTATAAAGCCATGTTATTTTATTTAAATTTATATTTTAAAAGAAATTTAAATATATTTAAATATAACACTTTTATATCGCTTCTCGTTGGATTTACTTTTGTAATGACCACATTATTTTACACACTTATAATAAACGATAAATACTGCGGTTTACATAACCCTTAGTTGGGTTTCTACTTTAAAAAAGTACCTTTCTCCCTTTCCTTTCTTTGACAAAATATGGACAAAACACATATTAATAGAAATATTAAGTCGGTAAAGATTCTTAACATATTATGGGTATAAGATCTAATATGCTTGAGACCAATTTTTCTTTTTTGAATACCAAAAGTATAAAAAAAATGGACTGAAGCATTACTTTTAAGCCCATTACATTCTGATATATGTTATGTTTTCATACTAAGTTAGGTAAATAAATGACAATTTTCTTGAAGTAGGAAACATAGTAATTCAATAAAGAGACATACAATAGATTCGAAATTCAAAATTAAATTAAAATTGAAACCGATTTTTAAACAAAAGTTTAAATTACCTTCAAATGCTAGCAATCAATAAATATTTGATTCTTGAACTAGAAAATAAAAATAATTTAAAAATTATTTGTGATACCATCATTTTAAGGCAACTTCGCTATAATTTTAGAGTTAAATTGGTGTTTTTATAAGTTTGAAGATTTTTCGATATGTACAACCATATATTCTGGCTATACAATTTTAAAGAACTTACGATTTTATTAGGAAAATGTATACTAATACTAAAAATGTATAACCATTTCCATCATTTCATTGATTTGTATAAATTAAGAAAATATACATGTGTAAAAAAGATATTCAACAATTCGAATTTTGAATAACAAAAAAAAATACTTGATCATTTTAAAAAAATGTTTTTTACATTGCTTTTCACAAGACACGTTTTGCTATATTAAATTCAATATTACAACTCCATTTTCTCCATCTTATGCAACAATCCGCTAATAAGCCAAGCCCTTTATTGCCTAACAATTTATATATCAATACAATCTACCCATCGAGAAATCCTAAAACTTGAATTAAAAAAAAAAACAAAAAATCAAATGATTTGTTGAAAATTTTCTTCATCAAACGGTCATCCTTTGTTCAAAACGTTACATACTAAAGTAATTCAAGTACCACATGTACAGTTGAGGCAATTCGCGGTATTCCAAATACAGAATTACCTTGTTGCTTGCAACGAGAAACTCCGCCTTCTTAGGGGAAGTCCATAAATTAAGTAAGGTGTTTAAGGGAGGGAGGGGGTCGACTCAAATCTCATCTTATCTTACGTT